ATGTCTCGGCGATATCAGACACAGGGAACTGGTCTCTGAGTTCCCAGTGCTGATATCTCCCTGTTTGTGGGTTCAGAGAGGAGCCAAAGCTGCCTTGTAGGGGCAGTGAAGCAAAGAGGGGCGCCCTGTGAGGTTGTGGAGAGTTGCAGCTCTCCTTTCTGACCCAGGGTTTCTTTTCCCTCTCAGCCATGGACAGGAGACTAGGAAGCCTAAAGATGGCTGCCACAAAGCTGGGACAACTGAGGAACAATTAAGACTGATGCTGGAGTGAAGTAGATGAACAGTGACTGGAACTGGGGGAGAGGATTCTTTTTTGCCTTAAACTTAATGCCAAGGAATAATTTAGAACTATTTGTTCAGAATTATTTGTTAAGCAGCATTTAAGCATTCTAAGAAAATACCAGACCGGAAGTGAAAGGTGCAAGAGAGAAAAATAATAAATTTTGAAATATACAGGAAATTGGAATCTTAAACTAGGAAGATGTGGTACTGGGAAGGCATATTAAAATGCTGGAATCATTTACTTACAAAACTTATTCTGCTTTTATAATGGATTTATAATTAAAATGATGATTGACTATTGGCAATACTGAAATTTAAGTTGAGAGTGCCATCTACTGACGAAAGGAAAAATTACAAGTCTGGGAATACCTATATGAAGGACTGTGAAAATATTTACTGGATTATTCCTAACTACCCCATGACTACTGGAGACTAAAATATGAAAATAAGGAAGCTATTTAATTAAAAGGACCCCTGAATGTTATGCTAGAAGATTGAACCTGTAAAGGGGACACAAAGAGGCTTTTGATAAACTCTGGGACTATTTAAATGGAACTGATTGTATACCTATGAGATATAAAAAGCTGTGATTAGTGCATTCCTTGAAGGGTAATTTAAGGTCTGAATAAATTGTTATTGGACTGCTGGACAAAAGTTGAATTGTTTAAAACAAAATAAGATGCTTTATAAGGAAGAAATGAGTGGAACTTATAAGGAAGAAGGGGATGGCATTACTTTTTCAAAACACAAAGGACATCATGAAGAAAGAATTTAAAGAGATTACGGAAAAAATGGAAAACATTATATGTGGGATGATGAGTAAAGACCAAGATGTCCAGGAAAGGGACGAACCAACAGAAGAAATGGAGAAAAAGATTGAGCTGGAGAACCAGAGAATAAAAGAAGAAGACAAGAAGGAGATAACAATGAAAATAACAGTGACTGGTGAATTAAATGAGGGGTAAAACATATTAAGAGAGTTGAAAAGAGAATTGGAGATACAGGAAGATACTCTTGAAAGGGAGATAGGGGCCTGGGTAGAAATTTTGGAAGCTAGGCAATGGAAGAGGATAGAGGTGGGAGAAATATCTAGATTGAACAGCCAAGAAGTAGATGCAGATAGAGATAAAGATCCAAGAGAGGAATATGGGAGGCAAGTCAAAAAAAAGCATAGCGATTAAAGTATTGAAGCAGGTATTAACTGCCCAGCATTATGAATTTGAGATGGACAGTCATATACATTGAAATAAATAAATAACATTCCAAGTGTAGTAGGCAGATTTGTTTAAAGACGATTTATTGACCTTGAATGTACCATTTGCCTTTTTCATAATGTTTGCATATCATTTCAGATTTTTCATTAAGTTACCTACCATTAGCTCAAGATTCCTGTTACTCACGGCCCCCTCAGATTGAATCAACATATACATGAAATGATATGTGTGTATCCCATAACCCAATGGGCCTCACTTTACTCTTGCATACATTTCACTCAATTAAGATGCCATTATTACTTTAATATTCCCTTTTAACTTTGGTTCATTTAAAATAATTTGATAGCTTCATTCATTTGCAGACTGAAAAATGCCAATGATCTTGTTTCCAAGAAAATAAAAAATAGCACATATTTTATTGCATTACTCAAGCTTTATCATTTCTAAATACTTTGTACTTTTTAATTTAAAGTCTGAATGGGCTGCAGGCTATGCTGGTATACTATACAGCATAAAGCCTATCACTTTATTCAGAGCTGTACTTTACCATTTTTAAAGTTTAGGAAACTACTGTACTTTGTATTGTGATTTATGAAAGCTACAATATTAATAACTGTCAAAAAAGGATGAGGTGGAAGTAATAAAATGAAATAATAATGAAAATAACCAATATGGCACAAAACTACCTTTTGGCAATGTTAGTATCCTACCGTAGATCAGGTACTGGTGAGCTGAATGCCTGGTTAAATTTGATCTTTTAAGTATCACAGTTGCAAGATAGAATGAATTACTTCATTTTTGGTTTTTGGTTTTTCCTTTATTTACTAGCCATTTAATGGCCAAAGTTTATTTATTTATTATAGTTATGAAACAACTGAGTGCATATTTAGTATCATTTTGGTTATTACAATAATCAACCTAATTTTTTAAATATGAGTATCAGACAGAAAGTTGTGCATAAATTCAGAAGATGCCAGAATGTACCAATACTGATATCAAACAGGCTTGTAGCCTGGCTAAAATATCTGGAAACAATACAGGAAGTAGAACATAATGTAAGACGGATTCTGTGGGTAGCAAAAAAGCTGACACAAGTCATTTCTGCCCATGTTACTCTTTTTCTTAAATACTGTAGTGCTTGCTAATAGCATACAGTCATTTAAATGTTTTCCTGCTGATGAGCCTGAGTGAACTGAACATGCTTACATTTAAACCATTCAATGGAAAGCACTAAACATCATTACTTTGATTCACTGGATTTGAATTTCTGGAGCGAGTGCAGCATGTGTGACTTGATTTGCTCAACCCCCTGCTCACATGCCAAGAAGTAAGGGCTGCCAGCTGGATTTTACAGGTGCAGGTCTTTGAATTTCTGTGAATGAAAAGTGTGATTTAAGAAGGCAGGTATAAAAGCTGCAGGATATTGTCTATGGAAGCAATTTACTGTACATAAAAGACATAGTGACTTGCAGAAATGCCTTTTTAAAAATAATATGAACTTTGTCCTTTGGCTAATTGCTTTCTACTAATTATAGCCTGCTCATACTTTTAGGAATAGTAAGGATTGGAAATATGCCCCAATCTCCAAATTTGCAAAAAAAAAATAAAAATGCTTATCTCAGATTTTGTTGCAGATTCTGTCTTTATTTTCATGGACTGTGGATTTTGCTCATTTAATTTGTTACTGCTAGTGCTGGTAGAAAAAAGTATTACAGCTAGTGTTTTAAATATCCCTTTATTAGTGCAGATGCTAAAAGAATAACTTTTCTTATAGAAGTATATGGCAGAATAAGAAATATTAACTGAAAAGTTAGGTGCTACATTGGTTTCTAATGAATTATAAAATGTTAAGATTAGATTTGGCTTAAATGTAATAATCCCCTAAATGTACAGAGGATGCAGTGGTCAGTGGTTAAGACGCTGAGCTTGTCGATCAGAAGGTCAGCAGTTCAGTGGTTCAAATCCCTAGCGCCCCATAATGGAGTGAGCTTCCGTCACGTGTCCCAGCTTCTGCCAACCTAGCAGTTCGAAAGCTCATAAAAAATGCAAGTAGAAAAATAGGGACCACTTTGGTGGGAAGCACTTTGGTGGGAAGCTCTGTGACCTTCAGTGTTTAGTCATGACCATGGAGACTTCTTTGGACAGCGCTGGCTCTTCGGTTTAGAAATGGAGATGAGCACTGCCCCTAGAGCCGGAAATGACTAGCACACAAGTGCGAGGGAATCTTTACCTTTTAAATATATTTATGAAAGGATGTATTTATTAAGGAAAAATTGTCTTTTCTGAAGTTCCTGTGGAAATGCTTGAATCATTTCACTGGTTTGGATGTAAACCTAAATTAAAGTTTAGCATGATACAAAAAAAACAGACCATCCTTACTATTGTGCTTATGTCCTTCTTTTTTCCTCCATTTCAGTATTGAGGTAGGAAATGTTTGCTTTCATTTATGATTAACAGCACTTGCTCCGTTTGTCGAATCTGGACAAACTGCAATTAATCATATTGTTAATGGAAACAAATTAGTTAATGTATTTGTATAAAATGTTGAGCCATGTCCAGAACAAACAACAGGTAAGGCACTTATCTGGTAATTTACTACACAGCAAATCAAGAGCAGACTTGGATGATCATACAGTCATCTTGATTCCAGTACCAAAATAAATAACTGGCCCACATTTCCTGTTATTTTCCATTTTTGACACAATTTTTTTTTATAAAAGTTGCAGTATGACCCAATTGGAATTAGAACCAGAATTTTGAAATTTTGAAAAGAAGTAAATCATAGTTAGAAAAATATGGCTATAGTATAGAAAGAATAGTATAACATAGCACCATAGAGTCTTTGACTTTGAGGCTCTCCTGGTCCAAAAGATCTCAGCTGAACACATCTCCTGATGAACCCCTACCTTTCATGGAAAATTGAAGAACCAGTCAGGACAGACTGAAGAGTCCTGGAAAAATCTGAAGACCTTCCCTTCTTAATATTTCACCTTCATTTCTTGATTGCTAGCTGACAACCAAGAGAGAAACACATCCTTATTGGATTATCAATTCTCCAAATTTCTTACTCAGGAGGCAGTTCTGACTTCTCTATTGGAGGTCACCGGACATTGTAAGGAATAAGGTTAATCAGGAGGTCAACCTCTGCCTGAAATGTCTTACAGCAATTGACACCTACCTAAACAGATGTTAGTGCATTGAATTCTCAGCTTTTCCACTGAGCAGAATCTAAGTTTTATGAATTTGCAAAACATTCCACAAAATATGACTTTAGAAAATATCATTTAGTAGAAAAGGCATATCTACATTCTCAGAGTTATAACACTTTTCAAGTCACTATACAAAATTACAGATTATTCATTGTATTCTTGTCCTTGTAATATTGTTATTATCAATAACAATCCAGGATCAAGGAGAAGAACCACATTTGGAGGGCTAAATTGTTTATTAAATATTTTACAACTGGAGCAATGGGACTTACCTAAATACATTTAATTTATATAGGGTGAAGAAGGAGCTAAAGGAGAAAATGGCATTCCTGGTTTACCTGGAACAAAGGTAGGATTCCTACCTTAAAGGAGCTCTTGGACCATTTTCAAAACCACTAGGACCAAAAGCAATGAACATAAGTTACAGCTACTTAGATTTTATTTAAATGTAAGGAATATTTGTACAGTTTTGGAACAATCAATCTGTAAACAACCGGGCTCTACAATTTTGAATATTTTAAAAAATAGGCTGGACAGGGAATGCAGGGCAGATGTTAATGTAGCTTACATTTAATATTTGAATAGTATTAATTATATAATATTTCCATTATTGGAAAATAATTTTGCGGGGCTGGAAAATCCCGTTCATAGTCACCTTTTATCTGGATTCTTGTTATGCAATGCCCTGGAAGACCACTCAGAAACTACCCCAGAACTTGGCTTCACAAGCAGTTATGGTGCATCTTGATGTTTTGATCTAAGACCTCTTGTTCTCTGTGTTGCACTGATTGTCAATGGATGTCCTACTGCAATTCAAGATGGTGATTGTCAGCTATTATGTCTATAGGGTTCAGAGCCAGGTTGTTTATGAAATGATCTGCCCAGCCAATCAAATCTGACAGAATGGGTATTTTCCACTTCCCATTAATTAATTAATGCTGCCTTGAAGAATGCAGAGTCATTACTACTCTGTTATTGCTCCTGCCTTTTGGAATACTATCCTCCCAAAAGTTTGTTGGGCTCCAATCTTGCCATCCTTTAGAAAAGTTCTTAAAAACTGGGTTTTCAAGCAGACCAGAAGCCAAGTGATTTGTGATCCTGACTGATAGAGGATGGATGATTGGTATTTGAGTGTATTACCTATCTCCCACCCCTACCCAATATCCTGCACTTCTCTGTATGTTCTTTATGTTTTTGAAAAGTATTTATGTATGCTGCCTAGAATTTTCTGATTAGGTGGCCTACAAATCTAAATCAATCAATAACAAGCAACACACTCTCCAGCCATATGTCTCCTTTTTTTTCCTCACTACTTTTAGAAAGGTCTGATGGTATCAGGAAAAATGTCTAGTAGAAAGAGTTTTGGAGTGATTTTTAAGTAGGCAGTTTTAAATCTTCCAAGTATGATCATCAGCAAACAAGCACATTCATGTGTGAATAGTAACTGCAGTTGCCGCAATGCTACAAGCCAGTTCTAAAAAAATTCATATAACCACGTCTTAGTTATATTGCAAAATTGCATTCTAGTCATTTCTATAATTTCATTTTCAAGAAAAACAGTAGTGGTGCAATGAATAAAAATATTATGGATGGAAAAATCAATTTATTTATGATTTCTGTTAGACCTGGTCACTGTTTTAATTTTAAATTGATAAACATTTTCCCTTTCAGAATCAATATTAGCAGTTCATATCAGCCTTTCCAACTGTCTGATATGTAGACATCAATTCCTAGAATTCTCCAAGCAGCTGGAGTTAAAAAATCTAGGAGTTGAAGTCCTAGATTTCAGGAGAATATCCAGGTTACAAAAGTCTGCTCTATGCATTGCTACAGAATTGAGGATTTTTTTCATCCTAGATGAGATGTCAGTTGGCCTAATAATGGAAGCCTATGAAAGTTGTTTAGAATTCAGTGAGTGCATCTTCATCTCATCTTCAAGAAGTAAATCATTCTTTTATATGAAATTATTCCCAAGTTAGACAGATAGTGGTTCTAAACAGTTTCAAACATCACAGTGTGCAAAAGATTTAAGTCATTTATTTGATGTTTCAATATTTATGATATTTGGTTTATGATGTTTACACTATTCTCCAAGCTTCCAATAGTGATAGAAGTTCATGTTTCTTCTCTGTCCTGGAGGTACCATGTACCTTGTTGTGTCTTTGATATTCTGCTGGAAAGTAAAGGACAGGGAAGGCTGCAGGAAGAACTTTAACTCCTAATCCTCACCATATGGCTTTGTTTCCTAAAGAAGAGTATAGAAATAAATAAATCTCAGTTGTTAAGATAGGAGGGGGTTATGAATAGCAGCTAGTGCTAGTTATTGTGAAGTATTCTGTTTTATCTTCCATAAGAGATTTACTGTAGTAAGAAAAATGACAGTATAAGCAGTGGAAAAACACCAGAGAATTAAAAATGGAAGGCATCCTCATCAGAACACCTGTAAAGTCACATGACAAGCCCTGCACTGTATTTTCAACATTTCTACATGTGATTCACTTAGTGGACAAACATTGTTAAATGTCCTGAAATCAGGGCCGGATTTTCCTATAGGCTAACTAGGCTTCAGCCTAGGGCCTCAAGATCAAGAGGGGCCTACATTCAAATTGTTAGCAAAATTAAAATTACACTTTCACTATAGGTGAAAGGGCCTCATAAGTGGAATAGCCTAGGGCCTCTTTTCATCTAAATCCGGCCCTGCCTGAAATGCAAGCTGAGTAATTCAAATACTGAATGTTACAGATGCTACATTATGTATTAGTTATCAAATTCTTATTCAGAATTGCTTGTCTTGAAAAACAGGCCAAATTCTGTCATAAATAGATAAAATATTTTATATATTTGGCAAATATGAAGATAATTAACCTTACTTAGCATGACAGTTTTCTTAGTTAAAAATATTAATAGTCCATAATAATAAGAAATTGTAACATTTTGTTATTGTGACAGTTATTGTATTTATTCATAATGTAATACTTCTTTTAATGACCAACAAATAAGAGTTGATGCAGTTTACAATTTGTTTTAGGGAGAAAATGGTTTAATTGGTGTTCCTGGTGTTCCTGGTACTTCTGGTGAAAAGGTACATATATAACCTTTGGGTCCATAGTTTGCGTTTGGCTGTCAGAATAGCAGACATCTTTCCTTTTTACCACAAGTTTTTATATAGGAAATATATACTATTTAACATTATCAAATACTAAGAAGAAAATACAAATACATTCATGATTTTTATAATTATGTACCACCAGGTTGGTGTCAACTCCACAGATAAATCTTCTTTAGAATGATCTATTCCTGACTTGGCCCTTTAGATTGTCCAACAGTGCATCCATCACAACGTAATCAAGTCCATTCACCTTTCTTTGGGTTGTTCTCTTTTTTCCTTTCCATCTATTTCCCCCAGCATTATCAGTCCTCAAGAGTTCTTCACATAATGTGTCCAAAATATAAGATGAGCTCATTCATTCATTCATTCTACAAACTTATGTGGCTACCCATTTCATTGAATATGCCTCTGGGCAGCATACAGTCAGTAATTAAAACAATGTCACAATCATTAAAAAAAAGGAAAATCAAAATTGCTGGGGAAAAACATTTGTGCCTCAAGTGAGAACTGTAAGTTGATTTATTTCTTTTCTTGGTTGTCTATCATATTCTCAGGAATATTTTCCAATACCAAAGTTCAAAAGCCTCATCACTTCCATTCCACTCTGCCAAATCCAGATTTTGTTTCCATAAACTATCATAGAAAAAGCCTCTGCCTGCATGATTCCAACTCTGTAGCTAGAGGGCCCATCATTCAGTACTACATCATGAACCAATACCTGTCCACCCATGTGCTTTTCTTGGTTAAATTCAGGAGTGTTTTACTAATCTCTTCTCCCGTGCATTATGAAATAATGCTTTGGCATCGGGGTTTCTTTGTCACTAAAGTGATCATCCTCATTCACCATCACTGCCCTCTGATACAGGTGCATGCTTGGTTTAACTGAGCAACTGGGATGAACTTCACATATTGAGTAACAGTGCTGGGAGTTGCCATGCTCAGTGTTCTTCATAATCCTTTCCAGGAACACCTATCTCCACTGCAGTGAGGCAGCATGACAGGACTTAAGGAAGAACAAACATTTAACATAACAAATGTTTTCTAATATCCAGAACTTCCCTTCTTTCACTTTAGGCTGCAGGGCAAAAGAGCAGCTTTTGTCCTCAATTTTGCTCTGATGTTATATTTTGGGAAGAGCACTGAAACCTATATCCAGCAATGGGGTGTAAAATAGTTTCAAGTGCACAAACGTGGGGTGTATTTCAAGCAGATAGCAGGGAGATTTTTATAGTTATATTTTTGCTGGTTAAATGCCAGAAATGTAGCTAGCCAGATTCAACTGCTACACATTTATCTATGAACAGAGAATAAAATTTATTGGTGACCTGTTCCATAAATGCTTTTTGAAATCAATATTCTGGATAAGGCTTCTCTCCAATAAACATGCAAGTGATGGTGCACAATCTACCCTCATCTCTTGATTTATTTGGATGTGAAAGAGAGACAGATTTTTGATGGTGTAACATTGTTACTATGTAATAAAAAGTGTGATTCAATTCCCACTAGTTTTTTGCTCAAAATCTATTCTGATTGCCTGCTAAGATAAACCAAAGGTCCAAATTCAAATTAAATATAACATAAGATAAATTGTATCCTGGATGAGTTCCAATCGTTTAATTTCTACTAACTTTGGCTGAAGGTTTAGAATATCAAATTCTAATCCAATTAGAATATCACATTCTAATCCAATTAAAAAAAGGAGGAAATCCATATTTGGCCAAAATGTTCTATAGCAATTTGCATGGCATCAAACTGAAAGCCTCTTCTAACTCCAGCCACCTCTGCCAATTCTAGTTTATATGAATGTATATCTCAGATGACTTTTGGTAATCTAATACTATCCAAGCCTGGCACTGCCTATATGAAAGTAGTTTTTACAGGATCAATAATCTGTAATTTCATGCCAAGATTACTGGCCAAATTTTAGCATTAAAGTTTAATAAATCAGGCAATACCTGATTTATCCACAATGAACAAAATCTTTACCATCTTCAATATCACAGTTTTATTAAAAAGATTTGGAAAAAATTTATTTAAATAGCATCATCTGCTATAATATAGGAGCAAGCTATGTTAATACTACTCATTGATGTAGCTATCAGGAAAGGTACTCTTCCTGTGGAGACAATTTATAGCCTTTAGAGATTCCATTCTTATTTCTTCCTTCCATTTCCTTCACATTTTTATGTAGCACATAGAAAATGAGTAAGCAGAGTAGAAATTGGCCATTAAATCTGTTCAGTTGTCTTACTAAAGTCCCTGTGTTTCAGGCTAATTAAAAATTCATAGTAATAGTAAAATAAGATTTTTATTTACCTTATTTTATCTTATCAGATCTATCATTTATATCATCCTTCTCTCCTTAATGGAAAGATTAGGTATCATAAATAGATAAATAAGCTCATAAGTAATCCAATTACATATTCTATAGAAAATATGGCATTAATTGTTTGACTCTGATCTTTTAAATACGGTTGTAAAAGTAAAAGCATATTTAATATTGCTGCTTTGTCAAGTAAAAGTTTATAATTATTGTGCAATTATTTATATTAATGAACAAGTTACAGTAGTCCAAATGTCAATAAGAGATAACTTTTCATTCTGTTATTTGTAGAAGTTGTATACATTCAAGTTAAAATATCCATCTTAAGATCCCAGAGAAAGAAAGATTTCTATTTGTTGTGATAACATCAGTAAGACAGCATAGCCTTCCAGGTGAGATTTTTATTGTAAAATCTCTCTGCCTCTCTCACAGAATTTTACAGAGGACACAGTTCTGCCATCTTCCATTGAGAATCCTTGTATGTTTTTCCATAACTCCTTTTCTCTCTTTTTCTGCTGAAAAATTAGTGAGAAAGAAAATAGTGAAATGCTATTGGACTGTAGTATGGAAGCTCTTTCAATTTAGAGGGTATATTTCTGGTTTGGATATTTCTACATCTTATTCCTAGAATATAAGTGCCCAATAGAATCATCTTCCATTGGAAATCATCCTTGTTTTCCCAGTATTTATTTTTACTATAATAAATCTGTTAGAGGAAGAGTATAAAAATAACTTTTTTTTTAAATTTGATTTATATGCCGCCCTTCTCCGGAGACTTAGGGCGGCTTACAATGCGTTAAGCAATAGCCTTCCTACTTTTGTATATTTATACAAAGTCAGCTTATTGCCCCCACAAACTGGGTCCTCATTTAACCTACCTTAGAAAGGATGGAAGGCTGAGTCAACCTTGAGCCTGGTAAGATTCGAACCTGCAGAAATTGCAGGCAGCTGTGTTAATAACAGGGTGCATTAAACCACTGTACTACCAAGGCTCAGTTTTTGCTAGCAGTCTTTGCTATTCTCTTTGCAAGTCTGCTGCTTTCCAGTACATTGAACCTTGACTTCCAGAATTCCAATATTGCCAACATTCTTACTAGAAAGTTGAGAATTTATAACCCAACAATTGTAGAAAGCTGATCTAAAAGTAACGTGTGTGTTTTCATAGAATTAATAATTTTACCAATGGTTGTTCAAAGAAACTTTACACAACATGTACGCATTTTTATTGAATGCTTACTAATTTTTTAAATAATTATTTAACTTTTATCAGTTAGCTGCAGCTTTCATTTTGTAAGCCATTAGTTCTTAGAAAAGCAGTTCTTTTATCTGGAATAATGAATGCTTTTTATAGAAAACAGAACTTGGATGCACACTTTACCAAATTTCAAGCATAAAGTAGAAATCCAAAAACTCTATGCTGATAGAAATGGCATTTAATGTTTATCTATTGCAATAGTGTTGTCAGTATGAATACCACAACACTGATCAATCATGTTCAATCATGTTTTTATACTTTCCATTTGTATGAAATTATTTTGATAAAACAAAAAGAATATGTTCAGTGCAGTGGTGAACTCCTAAAGATTATTAGCACCAACAGGTACCTCAGTAATATATATGTTGGTAAGGACTCTCTCAAAATATAATGTTGTAGGAAGTTCTGAAGATATAATACAATTTTTGTTGCATGTTGAAAAATGCTAAGTACAAATCAATCTACTAAGGGAAAACTTTCTGTTGTCAAAATATAGTGGGAATTTTCTGTGAAATTGATTTTTTTTTTCTGTTCAAAGTGATTATGTTTTGAAATGTTCTGTTTTAATGATGCAAAAAGTGTATAATTGTAGCATTTTTCCAGATGAAGATGATAAAAATAAGAGATAGAAAGAAGTCTATCTCTTTTGTTGTGAATTAAAAGTATATTTGGTCATTGTTTAAAAACAATATTTAAGCAGAATTTTCAGTTAAATACTGTATAGCAACTTAAAAACAATAATGACTTTTTATATTTCTCTCAAATGTAGGGTGAACATGGCTTGAAAGGAGACAAAGGTGAAGTGGGAGAAAAGGTAAATTATATTGACTTTTGCAAATTGATTTTGCTTGATGTTGTGTAATAATTTTCAACTTTATTTGATATCCATCTCTTGTTATTTTGTATACAAATTCCAGCCCTGAGTGAGTGAATGACACATACTTTAATTACAAGGCATATGGTGACTAATAATAAGACTGCTTAAAAATGTAATAATTGATATTTTCATTGGGTTGTGGGAGCCAATCATATTTTATTTTAAGATTTACCAAAAAAGACATATGTTATGAGTTTGCTAATAGTAATTGGATATATAGCAACTAGCCAAGTAACTCTTTTCAAACAATTATGGATTGTTTTTCACTTTCAGGCCAGCTTCGAGAATTTTTTTTAAAAAAATTAACGAGATAGAAAATTATTTATTTAGGCTTTTGTCTGCTTTTTCTTCCATTCCATTTATTTGTTCATATGCTTAATTCTCTTGTTCATTGTATATTCTCATGCATACAGATCATGCCTCATGTTGATTGAGGAATTCTGGGGGTTGGAGTCCACACTTTTCAAGTTGCTGAGTTGAGAAACATTGCTCCAGGGTTTTGAGACCCAATTCTTAACTTTATTTTGACACTATCCCTGAAAAACAATTTTAACATTTTTCTGTCTTTCATGATGTTATATCTGTCCTTGCCCTATCCCCACCCCATTTCACTTTCAGAAAATGCCTACCACGTTAGTTATGTAGAAGAATAATGTCTGACTGTGGTCTGAATCACCTTCATGACTAAGTTCCCAAACTGCCCCAAACCTCTTCTGACATTTAGTTACTTTAGGAAGTTGCTTATTATTGATTTTTTTGGGTTAAGAACCTTCTGAAAGATAAGCTGCATTACACTGGGAGAGTTTTCTTCCACCATTAGAATCTCTAAGTAAATTTAACAAGAAAAATATTAAAGTTTGGAAAACAGCAAAATTGGATCTGGAATGTTGATTTAGGAAAATTAAGGGGATGGATGGATTTGAAAAAAACATTTCCTATGGGGTGTTTAAAATTTCTAAAACAATATATAAAATATTTGATACTGAAAAAAAATCCTCCTGTGGGAAAGCCTTTTTGATTGGAAAATAAGCAGATGATAAGAGGAAACTTTGAAGTCTGATTACAGGGAACCAGAGAGAACAAAGGATTATTCTTAAAGGAGAGCAGACCCATTAATACAATGGAGCAATACTATTTAACTATAAAAGAAATTAAGGCTGCTTGGGAACAATTTTACTCAGAAGTTACTTACAAGTTTGTGTGATACAATAGCAAAGGATATAGAAGAACAATAGATTTTATTGGATAAAATAAAGACTGATCCGATTGTGGATTTGGAGTTTTTAAAATGTTAGATTATAAAGTGATATGGAAAAAGATGTTGTGGAATTGAAAATGGATTTTAAAATGCTAGAATATAAGAGTGATGTGGAAAAGTGAACATCCAGGTTTAAATATTCTGGAGAAATAATTCAATCTATATGAAATTCATGATTGTACTTCTAGCAAAGAACATGACTTCCTGCACAATACTCTTAAAGCAGAGTTATTGATTTTCCACTCCTGAATAACAGGATCCATAAATTTTGAGAAAATAAAAATTGAAAGAAAATAGAGAAAGAAAACTAGCATATAGTAAACTCCTTTGCTCTCAGAAATGCCTATGGGGGTTTCAGTTTAAATCAAAAGGAATGATTAAAAAGATTTTACTTCTGTTTGAAAAAAGCATAGGCTAAGCTTATTTCATGTTTATTTGGAAACAAACCCTAATGTTATTAGTTGTGTCAACATAGGACTTTAATGTTTAAAAAGTCCAGTACATTAGCTAAATAACTGCAAGAATTTACTTCTTTGGGGGAAAATGACAATAAAAGATGAATAAATTATGCTTACAGCAGTCTTTATGGCACTTTCAACAAATGTTTGGAATAACACTATTTACCTGCCTATAAGGCCATTTCCTCAGTGTATTTTATTATCTCTCTAACCACTGGACTTAGATGTTGTTACACATCTAAGAACTCACCCACACATTCCTGAAGATGTGCTTTTCAGAAAACTGCTCCCCAACCCCACCCTGACCAAGCTTGAGATAAAAATGTAACAAATATTCAAGTGAAGAATATGAACTGAGAGGCAGAGTAGTAGTAAATCTGTTATGAAATAAAATTGAAGCTATGAAGTTAGAACTGAACTGAATGCACTTTCTAGTCTACCGCCTAGTTGACATGGTTGTAATCCTTGACTGCGTGGTACATGCTGGCCTCTTTTAAGAAAAAAAAAATAGCATCACTCTACTAAAGCACCAGAAAGTATAGATGTCTTAAAAATGCATTCTACGAAAGTAATTCCATTTGTCATCTGCTGACAGAAAAAAAATTGGCTGTTCACTACCTATAAAAAGAAAAGGGAATGAGCTACTTCTCTTCTGTCTCAATCTTTTCCAGCTAGAGAAAAATCAAATAAAAAATCAAAGTATAGATAAGATTAAATATTGACCCTACGGTGTGAACCTATAAGAACATCTTCAACTTGTTTTCTCTAGGGGACTGATTGTATCATCCACTTTCAAAGGCCTGTATGTCTGCCCGTTCCCTGGTATTTTGCTTATATAAAGTGGAAAGAAAACACTGTCCATCTTAATATTTTATTTTCAAGGTTTACTTCTATTTTATTAATGGGAGAACATGTTTCCAAATTGCATGAATTCCATCCAAAGAATCCTCCAAGCTGGAATGCCTACATATTGGAGTTCTGCCTATAAACCAGAACAAAAGCTGAAAGGCTTGTGTCTTCGGCTCAGTAATTTAAACATCTGGAGGGAAATATTGAGTATTACAGTAATGTGGTTCCAATTAATACAGAGCTGTAAATTGATAATCTTGAAAATGCTAATTTTATAAGAGAATTTAGTCCTGGAAGTGACAAGTAGTCCATCTGTTAGTCATAATCAGGTTGTCAGCGGGTGTTTTTTTCTCCCTGTTTGTAGACTTTGGGAAGACTCAGTGGCTTAGACCAGCATTACAAGTGATATGAAATATGAGAATTGAATGTAAAAGTGCATATTCTTGGTGCGATTAATAAATGGGGTGACTTCTACAGCATAGGAAATAGGAAGGAAAAAGAAATCTTTTGTGAGAAAGCTGTATTGTTTATGTTATTTCTTACTACACAACAATATAGGAATTCAATAATAAATTATGGAAAGATGTTTCACTTTGATCTTTAAACTATGAATTATATATAGAAAAAGTAAAGGAGAGGCTGGATTTATTTGAAGAATTAATGAAACAAAGGAAGGAAAATGCACAATATTTATTGGACACATAGAGCTTCTAACAGTTCTTCTTTCGTTGTTCTCTGATTTCCCCCCCCCCAATTATTCTCTTTCTTTCCCTAGCATATTGTTCTCATTTTCCTTTGATTTTTCTCACATACAAGTCATCGGGTGGTTCAAAATGAAAGCTAGGATTCCACATTTGTAGTACATCAGTCTGAAATATTTAGAAACCACTACTATTGGTGTTTTATAAATTTGCCCTTTTCATAAACCTGGTACTTAGTGGGTTGTATAAAATGTTGACAAAGGGGGGAAACTGGAATTACACAGGAAGATACTTACTCTAAGCACATATGTTAATTGGTGTTTGTTTGTTTGCTTGCTTTCCTTTTAGGGTGAAAAAGGGGGAAAGGGAATAGATGGCATAGCTGGAAGGGATGTAAATTGATATGTATGTTTTATTTAATTTCTTTGTGAATAATCACAAGGTAAAGGATGATTGTACATAAAATCCTAATGAAGAAATAACTGCTTTCTAGTTCTAAAGATAAAGAATTTTCATTAAGTTGTTATGTCCACAGACCAAAAAAATGTAATCCCAGAAAAAACTACATAAAATGCTTGGTCTAGTGGTTAAAGCACCAGGCTAGAAAGTGGGAGATTGTGAATTCTAATCCCACTTTAGCCATGAAAGCCAGTTGGATAATCTTGGGCTAGTCACACTCTCTCAACTCAACTCACAGGATTCTTATTGTGGAAAAAATAGGAGGAAGATGTATTGGATATGATCACTGCCTTGAGTTATTTGTAAAAATAATAAAGGCAGGATATAAATACATATGTGAAGTGAAGTGAAGTGAAGTAAAGTGAAGTAAAAAAATACAATACAATACAATACAATACAATACAATACAATACAATACAATACTAAGCACTTCGAAAGCAATGCTGACTGCCTCCCCTGATTATTTAGCACTGTTTGTCATATACTCTGAATGAATGGAGAAATTTTGAGATGAGGAAATGTAGGTAGAAAGGTAGTAGATAGTTTCTTGCAAAGAAGGAATATGTTCAGAGAAGTAAAACTGGCTGTGCATAATGGCATACTTTTGTCTATTTGTGTATATAGAAGTGAGAGTCGATTTTATGTAAGGAGAAACACAAAAGAAACATAAAAATAAAATGAATGGGGTGGGAATATTTTTAAAGAAGTATAGTAAAAGAAGAAGAAATCATGTCAAGAAGGAATGAGCATGGAGTAAATGTGGATTGGGTACAAACATTGAATTAATCATACCAAATGAATTGCTTAACAAATCTATGAAGAAAGTATGAATGGGTTGAGAGAAAGAAGCAGCCCAAGAATAGTGATGGAATGAAATTGATGTGAACCTCAGAATGAGAGAAATGATCTATGTAAAAAACAAAGAAGCATAAGGATGTGGAGAAAGCAAGGATGTTTTGCAAAGATAGAAAAGTATGGAGAACTATATGAATGGTGCTGGTATTAAATAGTTTCAACTACTTTCTTTTATTTCTTTACTTCTTTCATGCACACTGCATAACACTGCACATCCTGAAAGGGAATAACATGATAAATATGTATGTTTATATACATATTCCATTTGCTTTCTGAAATCTCATAACCATTTTTGTTTATAGTCCACAAAAAAGTCAGAAATCTGAATCCATTCAGAAATCTGAATAGAGTAATTTGTATTTATGCTATTCAAGCATGGGCATTAAGGCAGATTTTTTTCCCCTACTCATTTGTCTTTGCCTGGTCTGTCTTCTTCAGACAGAACAAATATTGCTTTAGATTTAACTTTTTGATTGCTTATAAATGTGAAATCAAGTTTATCAAAATCCATCATTTAATTTGAAATGGCTACTTAAATGCTAATGTACTGTAACTATTTCTTCTAAATAGTGAATTAATTAATTTTTGTAAAAAGTGAAGTTGTCCAATTATGAGTATTTTGAACACTTTCTGATTCAAAGTTCCTGGCCTGCAGTGGGAGAGGTGTTGCTTATCATCTTAACATCATTTTTTTCTCAATTAAATTTGTCATGAAAACCAAGTAATAATTTTAGGGAAACCTTTAGATGGATGACAAATTTAATGAGTCTACTTTTAAGAACTGAATGTTTGTTTCAGCAAACCACTCTTCGTTGCCAAGAAAACATATCCATGATGCCAAAAAGAGTTGAGATTGATTTGAAAAAGGCTGTGTGTGTGTGTGTGTGTGTGTGTGTGTGTGTGTGTGTGTGTGTACGCGCGCGCATGTGTGCACATGTGCACACAGACAAGCGCATGCACCTTCAAGTCACTGTTGACTCCTGGCAACTGCCTGAACTAAACTTTTTGGAAATGGCTTGTCCTTGCTTCTCCTTTGGGCTGAGAGAGGGATTGTCCAAAGATAACTTAGTTGACTTCATGCCTAAGGCAAAACTAGAACTCATGGTCTCCCAATTTCTAGTCTAGGAGCTTAACCACTATACTTCTTACTTACAAAATTTAATACATATTAAACATGGTTTCTTATCTTTTTTTTCCTTCTTCCATAGGGCTTAAAAGGTGATGTTGGTGATTGTGGAATAACTGGTGCAAAAGGAGAAAAGGTATGCAGATGTGTCCACATGCGAACACATATATTGAATTGATAGCTGAAAATTAATGAGTAATGAAAAGAAGAGGAGAAATTGCTGACAATAAAAGAACAAAGAAGAAATACTAAGGGGCTGCATCCAGTGCTCTAGTGTAGATGCCATTGCATATGACTCTGAATATTAGCAACTCCTTGGAAAATGTTACTTGCTGAGTTTAACCTAAGCAGGATAACTGTCTCTTTTGCTCTTCTGCAACTACTTCTTCCCCTCCCCTCATCTCCATCCGGGGTGTTTGTTTGTTTGTTTGTTTGGGGGTATCCCAGCAGTACCCTTGAGCAGAGGCATTGTTCCTTGATGACAGACTCACTTCTCTGAATTTACAAATGTAGTCTGACACAAACACACACACAATGTATAAAACATACAGTTTACCAAGTGGGTTCAATAAAGCATTATGAAATTTACTTGCAAAAAAATGTACAAATTAGGGGGAAATACCTTCAGATAGAAGGATGTGATGAAAAAGTGTACAAAAATATTGTAGAAGACATGCAAACCAAGTTTCATGACAGACATTTTAGAAACAGTTACAGAAATTAATGCAGAAAAGGGACTGAACAGACTTATCACATATACTCATGTATAAACCTATCTGCAGATAAGCCAACCCTTGAATTTTTAACCAAAATATCATGAAAAATGAGCTACCCAGGGATAAGCCTCAATCTCCCTCAGACTATGGTTGCTGACCTTGAGTTGTTCAGCAATTTAATTTTCTCATCATATTTCTCTAAAATAAATTGAATAGGGACTATATGTATTGAATTAAGTAGTTCAAATGAAGCTGAGTGGACCATAGATGTTAAGTTAAGTATTTTAAGTGAAGTGGCATTTTGAAAAATTGCACTAATACAAGATTGTTACTTTTTGCTTCCCTCCTAATATTATAGGGTGATATGGGACCTCCAGGACCTGCTGCCCTTGCAGTAAGTACTTAATTTGAAAACAATGAAGGAATCTTCCAAATGTTGGCTTGTATATATGATGGTGATTTTTTTCCATTGATAATTTACCTATCTAAATTAGGTAAATTCATACTTCCTCAGTTGCACAAAATGTACATTTAGCAACCTATACAATTTGTGAGAGGAATATTAGATTTTTTTTTCAGCTGAACACAGTCTACTTTCATTCTCTTCAAAAATATTCTGACTATCTCACTGTGTGACATAGGTTCATGCAAAGCCTTGCAAAACAAGGTAAAAAGAATATGTCACTCTGTTTATCATTTTTCATATGCAGTAATGTGTTCAAAAGGACACTGAATTGCCTTTTGTTTAGCGGAAGTAGATGATCATTTTCCCGATGGCGGTAAAATTAGTCACATGGAGAATGGACACTCCTGCAAAGATCTAGAAAATCAATCCCCTATGCTGCATTTCCCAGAGCAGCCAAATGTATCTCTCAGTGCTTTTGGAGTAGAGAAAAATTATTGGGGGTATGACAGATGTAATATGAGATGGAAAACTGACATTGGAGTCTAGCAGTCCTTGTTCAATCGTAGCCTAATTGCAAAGGGCTATCAGATGTCTGGCAATATCCTTATTTAAGTTTCATTTTAGTTATTGGAACCTACATTCACTCCCGAATTGCTTCTCAAACACGGCTTGAAACCTGCCTCCATTAAGTCATAGTTTTGAAAACTGAGGTCCAATAAGAAGTGACTATTACATTTTGGGCAGTTAGGGAGAAAACTTTGTTTTTATTGTCACTTAGCAATCCTAATAAGTCAATTAAACTTTAACTAATGGTCCTGGAAATGTGATAAGAGTTGGCTTTGTCTATTCTTTATTTGGGCATGGAGAAATATTGAAAAAGGTCTCAATGGACATTTTTTTCTAAGAAAAGTATTTGGAATTGCCCTAAAAAAAATCATAGAGACACATGAACATGGCTGTAAGATTGTGTAATTCCTTACTTAATATGCATAACATCTTGACTTTAAACATTAATTTCCCACATAATGCAGATTGTTTCTCTAATATTAAAATAACATAATACTAATAAAATAACATAATGGACTAAAATAGTTGATGTTGTTTTCACATCCTGCAAGAGCAATGCAATGACCGAACTTCAGGGATGACAGCTTTATCTTCACAATTTTGTCAAGGTGCTGAATTGGCAGAAGGAGTAAGGGGCTTTTCTCTGAAATGACACAGTTGGCTAAGCTTCTCTCTCCTTTCTGGTATCCAGAGCTTAAGCCTGTGGATGTCATGTCACAAGAGTGACAGGTGAAGGAAGGTGGTATGGTGATCTCTCTCATAAAGTATATGAAAACTATTCCTCTTGACATTTGATCCACAGCTTTTAGTTCTCCAGGAAAATGAGCATCCATTTTTACGTTCCTGTAGGCCTATCCCTTTGGGGAGTTATAAAATACTCATCCAGATGGCACCAAATTCTTAAGCAGAAGCCAAGGGTTAAGTCTGTCACAAGCAAAAGCACCTAAATGTGCTTACTAAACAGATACTTGAAATACTGGTTCCATATTCCTTGAGACCTGGTTAAATGATGCATCAGATAACACATTTGGTACAAAGCAAACAGAATGAAGAAGTTAGTCATTCAGATCAAGACATGCCCTGTGGTTACTGCTACATATTAAATACAATTAACAAGTGGCATTATGCAGTTTCAAGACACAACTAGCCCAAGATACTTTTGTTGCCTGATATCAAGCAGTATATGATATCTCTAGTCCTACCCTTCTAGCCAAGTGCAGATTATCTAAATGCATCCTAATTATTTTAACACATGTGGCCCTAGAATATCACAAACACCTCTTCCTATCACTGATAGTACAATAACATGGATCAATGGCAATTTGTTGATCTTTTATATTCCATATCTGCGATCAGAGAGAGACGGTCCAGATAGATGAGTTTCTGGCAAAAAGGGCCTCTTCTAAAGTGCTGCTTCTACTGATCTGAGTAGGGCAGGTTCTTAGAATGAAAGGCCATACCTTGTCTTAAATTATGTCTGGTAGACAACTGGCAACTAGTAGAGGTCTTTCACTACAGGCATTATATTATCCATCAGCAATTTAGCCTCTTCATTTTGCACCAACTGCAATTTCTAGACATTTTTTAGAGTCAGACACATGTAAAGCATTTATGATGGTTTAGATGGAATATGATCAAGCGATAGATAACAACTGATATATCTCACCAGCTCATGAAGGGTCCAATTGTCTCACTAGACATAGTTGTACAAAGACACTCTTTGCCACAACTATCATCTGTGAATCCAGTAACCACTATGGATCAAGAAATCTGCTCTATATGAAGGAACTCAAACCCATGCCAAATAGGTTTTTCTTCAGTCCCAAAGGTCAGCTTTGTAAATGTAAACCAACATAGAAACAAGATAAAGTCCCGTGGAACACCATAGCTTAACAAAGTAGGGTTGGACGGTAGTTTCCCAGCATCATTTCTAGATGCATCCCAAAAGGAAGGATTGGATCTAATGCAAAGCAGTGCACCAAAAGCTTAGAAAGATTGAAAAGAATCAAAGTCTAATCTAGAGAAAGGGATTTATAATTCTCTAGATGTTATTGAAGTAATATTCTTCATTATGTTCTCTGTTTATCCTTTGTATGAGTTTTGTACTTTCTACGGTTGAACATAAATTGAGTATATATCCTTAGTGCACATAATAATAATACCTTATCTCATAATACCTAATCTCATTGAATGTATCTTGCATAATATTAAATTTAAACATTTTTTTTCTCTAAGAAAAAAGTCTGAATGGTTTATTCACTTATCAGGCTTCAAAAATGGTTATGATGTAATCACATTTATTTGAATATTAGTTTAAGTAAACTCCCTAAGTTTTCACAGATGAAATGGCTTATAGTTAATTCAAGTAATGCTTTACATCAAATCTTGTTAAAATTTTAAAAGTAGGTCATAAATCTTCTTACATTTTTAACAAGGTGCTATATCGGATTATGGACTGTAATTCTGTACATAGACTTTTACCACATCTCAGGTTTGCCTTTCTCTTATAATAAGGTCTTAAAACACCAGATTCTGTCTGGTTTTCATAAAGTTAAAATGATGGAATTTTTTTTCAGATTAGTTAGACATTCTTGGTATTTCTTCAGTATTTTGACTAATAATTCTTATTCCTGTTTTTTGTAATCTCTGACTTAACTCTATTAATAGTTTTTAAAGGGCCATAGAGATATGTGGTTATTTAATTTATGATTATATTTTGTTCTAATTTATAATTTAATTTATAGCATAAGAGTAGACTTTCCCCATTTTTTCTGTTTCATAAAACATATCTAATTTCCACCCACCTTCCCTCCCTCCCTTCTTTTTCTTAAGTATATTTACAATTTTTTTAAAAGAATAGAATTACTTCACATTATACATAAAGTAATGTGTTTCCAGACAAGTGCTTCCTAATTTAGTAATTAAAACATATTATGCAGTTTTCTTGACTTTCCTTTCTGAAAGGATTTTTTGGAAAGAAGAAAAAGATCAAAGAAGCAAAGGAAAATGGATCATTTACAAATAAATTCTTAATCTAATCAGACTCAGTTACTGGTGACTTTATGGACTGATTCATGGAATTTTCTTGGTAACAGTAACTGGTTTAATAGTACCTTCTCCAGACTGTTCTTTTACCACAAGTCTAGCCAATGGTATTCCCTTGAGGTCTGCCATTCAAATACTAACTAGACCTGACCCTGCTTAACTTCAAGCCCAGATAACATGTTCCTATTTGCTAAGATATACATCACCTGGATAGAGTACAAAATTTTGTAAATAAGGGAGGGCACCACTAATATGAATGTGGGTTTTAAGAGTAGAACATGGCTTAAAAGATAAAGTAATTGATTCACTGAAATCTAGAAAAGTTTGTCTGTTGCTTTTATTACCAAATTATAACATAATTATTTTATTAAATAAGATACTTTACCCCTGAGTACTAATGCTATCGTATTTGTAAGGTTACATTAAGAGAATCTGGCAAATTTAAAAGTACTTCTCACCTCGTACTTTTGCTCTGCTGAAAACTAGGGAGTGTCCCTTCTGAGATGCTTTCTCCACCTCTCTTCCTTCACACTCAATCATTTATTGGACTATTGTCTAGATAAATGTCTTCCTCCTGTCTCCCAAGCTCATTCTAATATACCATTACAGATAGGAAATTCACTGCTATCTCAAATGGAAATTACTCAGATGGAAATTGCTTTGCATATCTTCAGAAGGGTGTTGTAATCTGGTAAATATTCAGTTCCCTCACCCCTTTGAAGCTGATTCCCAAAATTCACAAGCAGCAGATGATTGCCTTTCAAAATAGTTGTTGCTTCTGTTTCTGGCTGGTTGCAGTAGGAGTCAGACTCAGTAGTAAAGTCTTCAAACTTGTCTTAAATTCATACAGTCTTCAGCCTTAACATTTTGTTGTCCTGGGTCATTTTTAACATTTTAAATTATTATTATAAAATTTATTTGCCACCCATTTCACAATTTGAAATGATTGAGTAGCTTAATGTTTTATCATGACCAGAGAATTTAAGAAGTGGAGATTGGCCATAATCTCTTTAGAGCCCTCAACAATCTAATATATTTACACAAAATATTAGCATGTTTGGGAATATTTGGCATTCATAAACCAGAAAACACTGAGATAGGGAGAGAGAATCCCAATAGCAGCTCCAAAATGCCCAGTAATATTCTGGGAGACCAGTGGCTACATTGTGAAGGATTGTTATGATTGTGAGGAAAAAAAAACGTGGGGCAGCTATTCAGAGAATCTGAAGATGGAGTAGGAATTTGTGAATGAGGCCAGCTATATTGAACTCAGCAGGGATGAATGTGGAAATCTGGAAATTTGGCAGGGGGAGAGATGGTGGAATGTGTAGAAGGAAAGAAGGAGATGGTGGGTGAGTAGATAAGTAGACAATAGCTAGAGAAACAGCACATGGAAAGAATGGACATTGTGAATTGCAGTTTTTGTGCCATACAGTTTGGGCAATAGGCTAAACTTCTAGTGATATAAAAAAGAAACAGACACTGTCAGTTTCCCCTTAGCCAAATCTGAGATAGGAAGGTAGGAAGTGTGTGACCCCAGAGGACAGTTTAAATTCTGTGATTTCATATTACATGTCTTCATAATGTAGCTAGTTTATGGTTAATGAACTAAGCATAAAGAATGTTCTTAAGCATGTAAGTCAGGGAGGGAAAAATATAAAATTGAGAGAAGGAACTCTATGAAGTAAATAATCTTTATTAAAATATTTACAATATTAATTGAATCCAGCTATACTATACAGCTAAGACAGGTCATCTGGCAGTTTTATTTTTGTAGCATCTTTTAAGCTCATTTCAATTTTCTATCACTTTCATTACTGAGTGTATGAGTACAGTTTGAAATCAAGCCAAGCTGAAATTAAGAGATCAAGTTAGTCAAGCTGAGAATTTGAGATATACTAATGTAAGAAAGTTATCATGTATGACCTATGCATTTTATTTAAATGCTCCATTCTATTATCTCCACCAGAATCTACTTTTTTAGTAGATTCACACCTAATTCACACCTCTCTTTTGGATAAAAGAGAAATGTTGTTCTAGGGATAAAGGCCAAGGGATAAACTGGCCTTGTTTGGTATGAGTGATAAATCATCTGAAGTTGACCTCAATTTTTTTTTACTTTAAAATATGCAAAACTTACTTGGCTGTAGAGAAATATTTTTTTTTAAAAAATGGTTTGATTATGTATCTATGAATAAGACAGAAAACAGCTCTGTAGTTATGAATAAAAAGATTCCCTTGTCACGTTTTTATTGGCTTCATAAATATATGTCACGTAGCTTACTAAGTTGATTTAAGAAAGGAAAAATTGGGTCATGCATTTTTTTGTATCGATCTAAAGTTTGAAAACAAAGTCAAATAAAGACATGAACTCAAAGCCATGTCATCCAAAGTAATAGAATTTAATTAAAATCAGCTAGAGATTTCTCAAGTTACTGGTTTGAAATTATCCACGGCAACATGTAGTGCTATGAGACCAAGATACCTCTTCATCCCAAAGATCATATTCTCTCATAAATATTGCGAGGTAAAAACTGAAAATGACTGAAGCCAAATTATAGGTCCGTGATGGCGAACCTATGGTACGGGTGCCAGAGGTGGCACGCAGAGCCCTCTCTGTGGGCACGTGTGCCATCACCAGCTGCTCTTCTGGTTTCCAGCATGCGCATGTGCACCAGCTAGCTGGTCTTTGGGTTTTTGGCGCTCTGGTGCGCGTGTACGCATACGCTCATGTATTCCAGTTTGGCCACTCAGTGCTGAAAAGGTTCGCCATCACTGCTATAGGTGAACCATCTTACAAAGATCATGTCTAAATTACACACACACTTTTATTTCTACACAGGCAGATAGGCGCACAATGATGCTTTTGCTCTCCTAATTGAGAGTATAGGTTTCTATAGTTCTTGTGTCCTTGTCTATAGAAGTCTTGATTTCCAGTTCTTCCTATAATTACAGTTTTTGATTTAATATCTCTTCTGCATTTCCCTATTATATAGACTTGTCCTAACGTTTATTTTATCCCAGAAATTTGGAGGGAATTCACCCTACCTTACAGATCCCCATTCTTCTGTTTATATATATCCTGTCTGAAAGAAATTTTTAAATGGGGAGTGTGATTTCTATTTAATGCTACTACTCTGAGACAATGACTCGAAAATAATCTCTTAAATTGCTCAGTTCTGTGCTATCATTTCTATGATATGCTGTACCATTATTTAGGATTGGAACTTCTTAAAATAGTATTTTATTCTATTTTATTTTAATAGTGATATTCATTATTTTTAGATTCCATTATTATACTTATTGGTTTCCTTTTACACACATCTGTCTCTTAACATACATTTATGTATATGTGTGTGTGTGTGTATGAATATTATATTTTATTCAATATTTACTTTATTGAATATCTTGTTTGTATATGGCCCTGGGGTTGCAATAAATAAATCTGAATTTGAATTTGGTTTGCTATAGCATTCCTTCCCTTTTTCTGTGACTGCAGTTTCCTTTTTAGGATTGAAATACCTGTTAACAAAGCCTGAAATCTTTTCAAATGCTTTTCCAAGTATAAAGGTAACCTGCTTTCCAGACAATTTCTTCATCATTTTTATCTGTACTCTGCTTTTGTGTATCTCAGCAAGCATGCTAGTTTCTGGATCAGTGGTCATGCTGACTGAAGATGATGAAAGTTACAATCATGTTGAGGCATCAGGATAGTCAAGACTGCCCTCTCATCATTCAGCATAGTGGAGAGTATATAGAAATGTCCATGTGCAAAAATTAATATACAAAATAACCCTCCGATATTGAGGCCACCATTTATTCATAAAAGAGACACACATTCTTTCATCAAGTCTATCCAGTTCAAAACTTAACCTGTAGCATTTATTTAAAAAATATCAAGCAAGAACTGCTCAAATCTACAGCTGTGAACCATCTTTCAAATTAAAGTGTGATCTTTCTATGTTCTTTAGCATTTGCTTGCCAGAGTCATAAGAACCTGTATGAATACTTCTTGAAATTAAACTTTAATTATGAAAGTTTGCTTACTGTTTTAGGAATATGAGAGCTACTTTAAGCTATATTAATGAGGGAAGTAACATTTGAAAACTGTCTATATTTACAGAGTATGCCAGGAATAGAAGGTCCTCAAGGCCCACCTGGAAAAGAAGGTCAGCGGGTAAGTAAATATGGCAGCAACTGGCAGATACTAATTTATCATCCTGTCTGTGCTTCAAAACTGATTTATTAGAAAAACCTTTGGACCTCAAACACAAACACATACAGCACTCTGCAGAATAACAAAATAACAAAGTTGGAAGGGACCTCTTAGTTCAAGCCCATGCTCAAGTAAGAGACCCTATACCATTTCAGACAATCTCTTCTTAAAAACTTACAGTGACGGAGCACCCGCAACTGTAAAGAAAGCCGTTTCACTGATTAATTGTCTAGCTGTCAGGAAATTTCACCTGTCAGGAAATTGTCTAACTGTCAGGAAATTTCGACTTAGTTCTGGGTTGCTTCCCTCCTTGATTAGTTTCCAACCATTGCTTCTTGACTTGCCTTCAGGTGCTTTGGAGAATAGGTTGAATCCCTCTTCTTTAAAGTGGCTCAACATGGTTGAGGCTTCTGGGCAAGCCTGAAAAAGCGATGATGTTGCTTTAATGAATCCACTTATCAACATTAATACAACTTTTAAAGTAATAGCACCTTTTTCCTCAGACTTACACGGGCCCCAAAGCATTTTTTCCAGGTAACCTTCAAAGCATGCACAACCCATTGACTTCTCTCAGTCAATGGGTTGTATTTTTTTAAAAAAACATAAATCAGCAAGTAGCTGTTCAAACTATGTAATGCTAAAGTGGCCTAGGAAAATATTGCAAAAGTATGCAATAATTGCTGGTAACAAACATATGAAACTGGTAACATGAAAAATATGTTTGGATTGGACCTTTTAAATATATTATAATTGTCATGTGAAACACCTGAAGCATTGTTTAAAGTTTACATAATTTGGTGTTTCTAGCTAAGGGGAAGATTTATTTTTAATGAAAGCAAATTTAAAGGTCAATGCAGTGCCAACAGGAAAAATAGTCAAACAAACATTATTTTCTGAAATGTTTTTCCTAACAATGTGTTAAAGTTTAGCAAGAAGTTTAAAATAAGGAATCTTTTCTTAGGAGGCATTTAAATGCTTAGTCTTTGATTTGATTTGAAAAAGTATTCAGCTTGCTGTTCTTACTACTTTGCATATATGAATATTAGCAGCAATATTTCCCTGGGAATTGAATTTACCAAAGTCAGTTTCACTATTATTATCACTTTGGAAGAGAAAAAAAAATAGTGTTAAAGAAAGTAATCATCTTCCATTCTGCACCAGATTCATAAAGAGATTAGATTCTGTTCAAATAATACTGCAACTTCTAATTAAAACTCCTGAAGGGAAGAAGAAATAACACTGTCTTGCTGTTTACAGTTTTAGTATTTGCTTTTTACTTGAAGAGTGGGCATATGTTTAAATATTACATTTGAAAAGGTAGAATGATTCAGACTTTGGAGGCCCTTATTCACAATAAAAATTTTAGAAATTATGACAGATGAAAATAAAGATGCAACTTGAGTATTTTTAAGTAAAATAAATTAGCATACTTAAGAGTAAAGTCCCAGTCAAATGGCTCTCCAATTTCCCCACGGTCTTATGCTAGGCCTTGGCATGAGGTAGATGTCTTATCCTTGGTCATATATAATTAAACCAGCTTTATAACCACAGTGTTCTTACATCCCCAGCCAGAGTAACAGTCCTTGCCTAAGAATGTGGAATATACCAAGAAGCTACAATTTAATTCTACATAATTTTTTGCCTTTTCAGAGAGTCTTGTGTAGGCGAACAATAGCAAACCAGTGCACAGAAGTGAGGCAACACTGAGTAATAATACCTTTTGGCAAGATATTTTGAAATAGCTTATATTCTCCTTTCTATTGTTGCATGTGGATTATTAATACACATGTTAGTAGTTTCAAGCCTAATTAGCTTTCAGGGATTTCAGGGTGGAGCCAGGATGTTATTTGAAGCATTCTTCATTTTGCTTGGCCATTTCCATGAATCCCCCCCTCTCCCCATTTAAAATTACTCTAAGTAAAATGGACATGGAAACCGATTTAGAGAAGTAATGGAACAATTGCAGTTTTAGTGGAAACCACATGAAAGAGCATTTCTTTTATCTGAACCAAGTATGTGAAACTTTCATTGCAGTGAACTTTCAAATCGCATTATCTCCATTCAGATTCATTTAGACACAGCTGAAATGAAGCTTGCAATACCCTAGACGAAATCAAGCAGAGATGTTAGTACATGTACTGATGAAAAATGAGGAACTTTTCTGGATCCATTTAATAGGTCTTTGTTAATGAAAAGGACTCTCCTTGTAAAAAAAAAAAAATCCTCCTGTCCCCAAATCCCTCCTAGAATCAATTATTAAATGAATCTAATGGTTGCTTAGCGCTACCACATGACCACCACCACAATGTTTATTAGACTGCTTGAGTATATATTGTGATGCAATGATACCTATGATAAGCCAGTCATATTTGGAAAGATATGTTTAGCGAACATTGAAAGTTACAATGATACTGTACAAAGGGACTTTTAAATTGTGCCTGAAGTTATGGTTGTCACAGCCCTGCTGCAGTCATGTCATCCAAGTCTGGGAGCTTGGCAACCACCTGCACTTATGACTGTCCCCCACTTGCTTATGTACCCCACCATTATGCCCTTAAACCACCATAAATGCAGTGGAAGTTTCAATACCACAAGACAAAGCAGCTGCACCTTCTCACACAAAGGGCTGAATACCTGGGAAGCCTCCACAGCAGAGTACAAAGGAGCTGCCCCACAGGAAGTTCCAAATTCCTGGGAGATCCAAGAGCCCACCACAGCACAAAGCACCCCCATCCCATAAAGTACTGAATGCCTAGCAACCTCCATCCCAGTTGCCCTTGCTGCCCTGCACTCTACCACACCTGCTGATCTTCATCATTTTCTAGCTTCCACAAGGCCACCCAGCCTGTCCCTTTACAAAGATGAAGAAAAATGCTAAAGGCAGCTGCTCAGTAGTGGCATCTTAAAATTCCCCTTTTCCCATGCTCCCGGGTAGACCTGGAGCGTTAGAGCTGGCTGGCTTCATGGTGAAAGCAAAAAAACAAAAACTCATGGTCCCAAGGCTCTGTGAATAAAGCACAGCTTTCCAAGAGCATTCTCAATTCCAAAAGGAAAAGTTTTGATTGCCTTTAGGATCTCCTCCTCCTCCTCCTCCTTCTCAAAGAGCCAAACTAGACACATCTCACAAATTTAATGGTTTTAAAGAGAAGCTTTGGCTTGATTTTCATGGGTTAAAAAAAACACCCAGTACACATTTCTAGAGGAACAAGAACCCTAAGAAATCAGAACAGAGTATTTTCCCCTTCAATATAGAAACTGCACATACTGAAATCACGTGGAGCTTCAGATTGCCGATATGTAAACATTTTACTATTAAAAAACAGCAGAAATAAATGGAAAAGAAATTGAATTCAGGAAGGCACACATACCATCTTGATGCAAACATTGAATGTTATGACAGATATTGAAAAATGTTAATATCACCTTATGCTTTTGAACTGTGGTGTTGGAGAAGACTCTTGAGAGTCCCTTGGATTACAAGGAAATCAAATCAGTCTATCTGAAAGGAAATAAAACTTATCTGTTCTTTGAAAGGACAGATAATGAAATTGAAGGTCAAATATTTTGGCCACCTAATTTTTTTTTTAAAAAAAAATTGATTTATATGCTGCCCTTCTCTGGAGACTCAGGGCGGCTTACAATGCGTTAAGCAATAGCCTTTATACTTTTGTATATTTATACAAAGTCAGCTTATTGCCCCCACAATCTGGGTCCTCATTTTACCTACCTTAGAAAGGATGGAAGGCTGAGTCAACCTTGAGCCTGGTGAGATTCGAACTTACAGTAATTGCAGACAGCTGGTGTTAATCACAATGCTTTTTAGTCTGCTGAGCCACCAGCAGACTGCTGGTGAAGAGAGGACTCACTGAACCCTGATGTTGGGAAAGATTGAAGGCAAAAGGAGAAGGGGACGTAATTGACATAATGAACATGAATTTGGCCAAACTCTGGAAAACAGTGGAGGACAGGAGGGCCTCGTGTGCTATATTTCATGGATCGCAAAGAGTCAGACACAGCTTAGTGACTGAACAACAACAATATAATTTTATTTTATTATTTGCCACCCAACTACCGTGGACCCTATGATTCATTATCCCAATTAACTAGCGTTTCAGTCCATTTTCAAATCCTCAACATAGCAAAATAGCAAAGAAGAAATATTCATCTAGCATGAGGTTTTTGATGCTCTAGTACAGGGGTGTCAAACTCACGTTGTCACGGTAGCATCATGTAACTTTTATCCCCTTTGCTAAACTGGGCATGGACATGGCCAGTGTGTGACACATCTGGCCAGTGGACCAGGAGTTTGACAGCCCTGCTCTGATGCCTTTGCCTTCCCATCCATACGTTTTTCACCTGGGGAATTTCTAGATAATACTATCATTATTCAATCATCCTTTATTTACTGATTATTGCAGGAGTAACCTGCGGCTTACAACCCTCCCTTATTTTTCCTCACTGTTTTCTTTGTTACAAATAATCTGTAAGTAGAAAGAGATGCAATCACTTCACGAGAATATCTTGGACTGCTAGCACTTCCTGTTGCTCCTAAATAAGAAATACCTTCACATTTCTTGTTATTAATAGAACTCAGTGGATTGATTTTTCCTGTAGCACAAATCTTATAAGAATGGAAGACTAAGCATTCTACTTAGAGTGGTGATCTGAACATAATGCTAGGGTATTTGATATGCAGGGAACAAGGCTTGTGAGAAACCTTACATTTGGTTTTGTATTTTTCCAACCATTCATTATTTAATAAGGAACAAGACATGCATACCAAATTCTTTTGATGATAGTTCTCACAAAATGTCTAGTGAATGTACTATGTATGATCAACTACTAATGGATTTACTTTTATATTCTACAAGTCATAAAAAGTTAGACAAATGTGATGAACAGGCTGTACTCATATAAATCAGGGTCTCCAAATTTGGCAACTTTAAGACATATGAATTTGAAGTCCCAGAATTCCCCAACCAGCATGGCTGGCTGAGGAATTCTGGGAATTGAAGTCCACAATGGATCTATAATGGACAATGGCACTGACAGTAATTGGTATAGAAACAATCTGAAAAAAAGTTATGCTCCGTAAATTATATTAGCAAACTTTTTTACAAATATAAGTTACAGAGAATTCAGTTCTTCATTCTGTACCTGAATCACATTTGTCCATGCCAGGTCAAATCCTACTATGTGCTTAATATTTCTTTATTTTGTACTTACTTAAAATGTTAAGCAGTCAGGAACTGGAAAGGTAATCAACAGAATCTGATTTTTCATCAATATCTAAATTTTTCAATAAAAAAAAAATATCTAAATTTTTAACAAATCCAAATTGCTTTAAATGGAAATCTCACATTTCATTCTGTACTTTAAATGGTGCATTTAGTTAATAACTTTGATGGGAAACCAAGGTTCATATAATAAAACTTCTGATTTAGAAGCGCTGATCATGCATACCAATAGATTCCATTGCCTGCAAGAGCTTTTCTGTTCCCTTTAATGATGATGGTAATAAAGGTTACCTTTCTCAGTATCTATGGAACTCTACCGCCTACAAGAGCATATCCCTTCACTTTAGTGATATAGCAAAGCATTTTTCTCTGAAAGATTCACCTGAACTTAATATTGCATGTACACTGCGACACATGAAGCTTTTTACATTATAGAGAAATATTAAGCAATGTAAATAAAAAAAAACCCACAGTAAATACTTTTCAGCCAGATACTTTTTACAAATATGTGTTGTGACATTCTGTGCACCTTGAATACCCCAAAGGACTACATTAATATTGATAATACAACCCTATTTTATAAGAAGTTGTACTCAGTGTGTTTAGAATTAAGGGATGCAATAAACATCTGGATGAAAAATGTTTACATATCTCACATATTTTTACTCCTAAAATACAAATGTGCATGTGGAAGCCATCAAACCAAAATCATCAAAAGCTATAGCTAAAGTTAGGTTAACAAAAAGCACATTGACCTAAATATGGATGCTATATGTGAAACACATGAAAAATGTTAGGAGACACATGGCTTCTGAAACATTGTCATCCACTGTTTCCTGATCTTGGACCCATAGAACTGCTCAATTTATGAAGTCCAGATTAGTTGACAGGGAATCTCTGACAGTGACAGATGATTTGAATAATGGAGATCAATAACTAAGAAGTGCATAATTCAGTTCAGTTACAGCAGAATTGAAAATCAGCCGAGAAAATGGAGGCAAGATATCTGTAAATCTGTAATGCACAGCCTATTTTTAAGATTTAGGATGGTAAGTGTACTGTAATTCTTCCACTGCCAATCCTGTCTGTTCCTTTATGGTAATTCATCTGAGTTTGCTGTATTTTAATAGATATCACGTGAAAATGCTTTTATCTATGATCCATAACTTGCAAAACAAATACTAATTAAAAATTTTGATGAAGCAAACCTTTTTTGTTTTGGGGAAAAAATCTTAAAATGATTAAAGCTACTTCATTGTTCATGACATTTATCATTTTTGCTTTACAGCCAATTCTTTGGGGCTTCCAGCTTTGGTTCAGGAAAATTTTTCAACTGTCACTGTTACTGCTGTATCAGTTTTTAAATATATAGTACACAATTGTGCCTTCAAAGAGTTTTGATATAGACTGGGAAAACTATAAATAGGTCCTTGCTAGGAATTTCCATTGAAAGGATTAAAAGTAAAGCTTTCTGATTTTTTTCCCCAGAATTCAATATTGACTTTGATCAATTCTGAAAGCTTGAAAGCTCAACTTTATTTGGAACAATTTTTTAAAATGATGTTTTTAACATCAATTTTTTAAAATGATTTTTTTCATATAAATTGAAACATTCTATCCAGAATAATTTGTGCAAGGCACTAAGCCAGTTTGTTCAAATCTGCTTCTACAGAAGAAAAGTGTAGTGTAGGATGCAGGGAAGCCATACATTTCTAGTAATGTTCTTAGAATGGTTGTTCTGGAAAATTTCCTTGATAGTTCTGCCTTAAAGACTTTATATTTTTCAAAACCATGTTCTTTAAACAAATAAATAATTCTTTGTCCCAATAATTCTTGCTCTTATATGTCTTTGTTTATCCAGGGACGACGAGGCAAACCAGGACTCCCTGGAAAAGCAGGACCACCAGGGCCACCTGTGAGTATCCACAAGGATAGCATCAAATTCAGCTTAGGCCACAATCTATACCAGATACCCTGAGGAGGTTGTGTGAACAATTCTTTTTCTTTCTCTACAGAGAAACAAAGATAAGGCATATAGAGAGGTGTGGGATATAAGTGTAATAGGAAAAAATAGGATAAGAATGTAACAGTTGTGTTTGACATAGTTGTATTGAAAATGAAAAACCTTCAGAATGAAGAATCCTTATCAGATTGGGGCATATTATTCATTAATGAAATGAAATTGTGATAGAGGAGTGTTCTGAACATCATTCTTATTGTTGTTCTTAAGAAAAAATAGTTCATGATAGTGTGTGTCTCCTACATAGTAATAAACAGGTACAGTACTTGCAATCCCGATTTCAAAAATGGTCAAGCAAATGATGCTTCTGTCCAAAACAGATTTCTTACAGCACATGAATTTATCATATGAATCAATGCTGGATTATGAATGCCTCATCTCCAGGAAATTAACCGAACCTACTCATTTCTTCTTAAAACAGAATAACAGAATTGGAAGGGACTTTGGAGGTCTTCTAGTGCAGCAATCCCCCATGCTTTTGGGTGCCAGGTACTGGTTCCATAGAAATGGGTTTTTTGCAGACTGAATCCTGCATATGCACGGATGGGGCTTCGCTCGCTTGCGCAGCCTGATTCCTGGCAGGCCATGGGATGGTCCATTTTGTGGCCTGAGGTTGGGGGCCCTGCTCTAGTCCAACCTGCTCAAGCAGGAAACCCAAAACCATTTCAGACAAATGGTTGTCCAATCTCTTCTTAAAAACTTCCAGTGCTGGAGCACCGACAACTTTTTCGGGCAAGTCATTCCACTGATCAATGGTTCTACCTGTCAGGAAATTTCTCCTTAGTTTTAGTTGCTTCTCTCCTTGATTAGTTTCTCTCCATTGCTTTTTGTTCTGCCTTCAGGTGCTTTGGAGAATAGCTTGACTCCCTCTTCTTTGCTGCAGCTTCTCAAATATTGGAACACTACTATCATGTCACCCCTAGTCCTTCTTTTCATTAAACTAGACATACCCAATTCCTGCAACCATTCTTCATATGCTTTAGCCTCCAGTACCCTTACCATCTTTGTTGCTCTTCTTTGGACTCTTTCTAGAATCCCAACATCTTTTGACCAAGATGACCAAAACTGGATGTAGTATTCCAAGTATGGTCTTACCAAAGCATTATAAAGTGTTATTAACACTTCACATGACCTTGATTCTATCCCTCTGTTAATGCAGCCTAGGATTGTGTTGGCTTTTTTAGCAGCTGCAGTACACTGCTGGCAAAAAAAGCCAAAGCAATCCTAAGTTTCATTAACAGAGGGATACAATCAAGATCAATAGCAGTCTATAAAGCCTTAGTAGGACCACACCTAGGGTATTGCATCCAGTTTTGGTCACCACACTATAAAAAGATGTTGAGACTCTAGAAAGAGTGCAGAGAAGAGCAACCAATATGATTAGGGACTGGAGGCTAAAACATACGATGAACAGTTGCAGGAACTGGGCATAGCTAGTCTAGTGAAGAGAAGGACCAGGGGAGACATGATAGCAGTGTTCCAATATTTGAAGGGCTGCCACAGAGAGGAGGGGGTCAAGCCAAAGGCCAGACAAGGAATAATGGATGGAAACTGAACAAGGAGAGATTCAACCTGGAAATAAGAAGAAATTTTCTGACAGTGAGAACAATCAACCAATGGAACAGCTTGCCTTCAGGAGTTGTGGAAGCTTCATCACTGGAAGCTTTCAAGAAGAGACTGGACTGCCATCTATCACAAATGGTGTAGGGTCTACTGGGTAGAGGGTTGGACTAGATGACCTACAAGGTCCCTTCCAACTCTGTTAATCTGTATCTGTATGGCTCATATTTAAGTAATAGTTCACTAGGACTCCAAGATCCCTCTCGTGGTTACTACAATTGAGCCAGGTGTCACCTATTCTAATGTCACAGAAGTGTCCAATAGAACCCAACATATTTTTGTTGAATTATGGTAATGTTAGATCTATAGAAATTCAAGCTAAAAATACAAGAATAGTCTTCCACTGAGGTTTCTTATACAAGATACCCCTCTTAAACTTTCTGGAGGGTTTTGAACTTGAACTAACTAGCAGCCTATCTTATTGTACTGTAATTTTTACAACTGGAATATATGAAGTAACCAGACTTCTTTGTGTGTTAAGAACATTGTAAACATGGCATTTGCATTTAGCATTAAATGGGGTTTTGGTTGAAACTGTCATGAGTAGGTTTTACAGAGCTAAGTATCAAGCCATACAATGGATGCTGCCTTTGTCTTCTGATTCTTTTTTTAAACATTGGATTGTGAATATGTTTATATTAAAGCAGGAAAATAATTGGAGACAGTTTTCTCACTCCAAGAATAGAGCTATTCTATCCTGATACATGGCTTTATTAAAATACAAGGAAAGCAGAAAAAGAAGATGCTAATAGGCTTCTTGTTTGCCCTATTGTGTGTCCCTACCCAATGTGACAGTGATTGTATGGCCAATATAAAGTATTCATTTATATCATGGTAATAAAGCATTTCACAGGCAGGATGGAACTAGAATAAGAATTGGTAACACCTAGCCCAATTGAGCTGATCTTGAAAAAGCTGAGTACCATCAACCTGATTAATAATGTCATACAGTATACATGTTTTAAATAAATAGTTGTTTTGATGGAAGATGTATTATGATAGATATAGCTTTAAGTAAGATGAACAAATATATTTCATATAAGGTTTCTCTGCCCCAGCTGCCATTATGTTTATCTCCCACTTCAAAAACAGACTTTTCTGGATCTTGACAGAGTAGGAAGATCCATCTGCAATCACAGGCTTCAGTGAATAGGTCTGCTAGTGGTGGGTGGTAAATTGTTACAAGGGAAGTAAAAAATACATTTTACTGAGCTCGGTACAGGTTGATGTATCTAGGGCTATGGGAGTAATTATTCCTCATAATTATCCAACTAGGATGGGAAATTTTCATCAAGCACTAAATTAATTCATGGTTTCAGATGTGACTGTGTAGAACAATAGATAGCAGAACAAACATCAATTTCACAGCATCACGGTGGTGCAGTGGTTAGAGTGCATTACTGCAGGCTACTTCTGTTGACTGCTGACTGCCTGCAGTTTGGCAGTTCAAATCTCACCAGGCTCAAGGTTGATTCAGCCTTCCATCCTTCCGAGGTCGGTAAAATGAGGGGCCCAGATTGTTGGGGGCAATATGCTGACCCTGTAAACCACTTAGAGAGGGCTGTAAAGCAGTGTGAAGTGTATATAAGTCTAAGTGCTATTGCTATTGCTATCAGAAAACTACCTGATGTTGAAGTTTGTCTGACATGTTTTGTAGTAAAGCCAGAGCATCGTTTACTTTTATTCTGTTCCTATTGAAATTCAGAGCCCAGAACTCTGGCTCTGACAAATGCTGAGTTGTTTTATAACCATTTCATCATTTGGGGGGGAAAGTACTTAATTTCTAGCCCTCTTAACAAGCTGAGAGCAAACTGATAATTTAATAAGCAGACCCGGTGACTTTGCTTAATCCACCATTCTGTAAGAGTTCTCTAATTCTCACTGGACTAAGTTTAGGTTCCACAGAAGGAATAAACAATATAATTGTTTTTGTTCAAAACCGTACTATTTCCCCCGTTTACTTTTATGCTTTTCTTCAAATGCCTGTAAGAATGAGAAATTATGACCATAATTTGTTATTTTCTTTCTAGCACAACATTTTGGGAATCTATTTTAGTGTCACTTATATTGTTTTAGAGCTAGTCCCTTTATTATATTGCTGTGAATTTATTCTATTCAATGTGTGGGTCATTTAAGCTGAAAAACTATTGAAGAAGCTCATTTTGAATGGAACAGCAGCTCCCTCTAGTGATTTTTACTCCTTCAAACTCTTATGTAGTGAAGCTGAAAAATCTTCATTATTATTATTATTATTATTTTATTTTATTCAATTTGTATCCCGCCCTTCTCCTAGTAGACTCAGGGCGGTGCACAGCCAGAACTAAAACACATACCAATACAAAATTTAAAATTTTTAAAAGAATTATATGACTTTGGCCCAAAATTTAAAATATTCAAACTAAAACCCATTGACAATTTAAAAGGCTAAATTAACATTAACAGACTATCAAGTTATCTTAGAACTTCATCAGTCATCTCACAAATAAGAAATAATAAATATTATTATAGTAATTAATTATTTTAACAAATTTGCCAAGTTTTTATCAAGGGGGGATTTTTTTTCACTGTATATGCATTCTCAGTAAAAGAGACACAATTCAATTTTGGTTTGGTATCTCTTTTTAAAATAATGATTTAGATAATGATTGAAAATCACTTTATAATGTAACTATGTTTTTCTATATATTTATACAATAAACCAATACATGGCTACAGTGCTAAACAAGAATCAGAAAGACTGAGGCTCAAAATTATATTTCAATACCTTTGGCATTTTCATTCTAAAGCCTCTGCAATACATATTAAACCAAATTTGGCTTTATTCAATATTTTTTTCAGACATACCACATGCTACTATTCAAATACTATAGCAATAAAATGTCTAGATTTTGAGATCTGCAATTTGTAGCAAAGTATATCACGATAGCATTGCCTCTGATTAGCTAGCTGACGAAAACCTGGATGTTTTTAACTAATTTTAATTAATCCTTGTTTTTAACTAATTTTGAATTAACAATTCTTTCATCTCCATTCCATAGAAATAAAAAAAAATCATGTGCTGGTGTTATTCATATAATCACTCACTTGAACACAATCTAATGTATATAGATAATATTTATTGGGAAAGCTGCTATGTAGAATTCTTGATCTGGGTGCCTCCAATTCTGATTAATTGAGCATAAATATATATATTAAATATATACTATTTAAATCAAACTAGGTGGCTGATTTCAAAAAGTTGAGTCAGGCTGGGAGACTACTGGATAATTCCACAA